CCGACAAAAACAAGATATGCACGAGGACAAGTCGAGTCAACAAGAGGGGGACAGGGGAGGAGGGAAGCCCAAGTGTGTTTCCTTGGGGCGTCGGGTGGCCGCGGCCCATACTAGTTCTAATAGAGTGAACGGGTTCGCGCAGAGAGAGGGCGTGCAAGGCGCACAAGAGGGATGGTGCAGAGCAGGGCTTGGCCATGCGAGGTCCAAGCAATAGCCCACGCAAAGAAGGTGCACGACGCGAGCACCACTGAGGTATCCGAACACTTCGGAGGTGGTGTGGCCCTGCCCCGTGGTGGTCCGGTCACTTTCGCCTATGACATTCTCGCAGCTCGGGTTCCCGAGATGCCCTGAGCTGAGGTGGTGTGGCCACTTTTGCCCCGAGGCATTTTCGCAACCCTGATCTCTGAGAGGCTCAGCCTGATTGTGGTCATTGCTTCTCGCCTGAGACGGCCCTGCAACTGTGGGTTCCGAGATGCACTGAGCTGAGGTGGTCAAGCCACTTTCGCCTTAGACATCCTCGCAACTCTGACCTCGAAGATGCTCTGCCCCCTGGTGGTCCGGCCGTTTTCGCCTGGGATAAGCTCGCAACTCTGGGTTTCGAGATGCCCTGAGCTCGGGTGCTCAGTCCACTTTCACCTCAGACATCCTCGCAACCCTGACCTAGGAATCACCACGCTCCATGATGGCTCAGCCACTTTCGCCTGGGACATCCGGGGAACCCTGGATTCCGAGATGCCCTGAGCTCAGGTGGTCAGGACACATTGGCCTGAGATATCATTTCAACTCTGACCTCGGATATGCCCTGTCCTATGGTGGTCCAGCCATGTTCGCCTATGACATGCTCGTAAACTCTGGACTCTGAGATGTCATGAGCTGAGGTGGTCATGTCACCTCCGCACGACGACGACGACGACGACGACGACGACGACGACGACGACGACGACGACGACGACGAACTCGGCGACGACAACTGGCCATCCTGGGTCGTATTGGAGGCGTCTCGCGCTCCTCATTGAAGCATCTGGACAGTTCGTTCGGATTTCGTGGCAAGTCTCTTGGGGGCCTCCTGGAAGCAGTTCCGAGGCTCTTGGGGCCCGGTTCAGTGCCTGTTGGGGGCCGTGTGGGGGGCTTTTGAAGGCCCCTCGGGAGCCTCTCGGGGGCCTCTTGGGGTCCTCCAGCGGCGTCTTGGGGGCCTCCCGGCCAAGAATGGAAATGGGCCGATGGTTGCCTCTTGAAGGCCCTCTTGGGGCCCTCTTCAAACAGTCTCGGGCCCTCTGGGGCCTCGCTGAAGCTGTCCTGGGGCCCAGTAGGGAGCGCTGGGAACCCAGAAACCATGTTCCCGGAGAGGCTTCCGGGAACATGATTTCGAACGGGGCCCTCTTGGGCCTCCCTGAGGCCGTCTTGGGGGCCTCCTGGGCCGGCTTCGGGGCCTCTTGGGCCGTCTCGGGGGGTTCGGTCATCCCCACAGGCCCTCTTGGGTCTCTCTTGGGCTGTCTTGGGGCTCCGTGGGGGCGTCTGGGGCACTGCGAAGACGAAGCCAGCAAGTATGCTGAAAATGCACGTTTTACAACAGAAATGGGCCGATTTGTGCCTCGTGAAGGCCCTCTTGGGGCCCTCTTCGGCCATCGTCAAGCCATCTCGGGCCTCGCTGAGGCTGTCTTGTGGGCCTCTTGGGCACCCTCGGAGCCCAGAAATGATGTTCCCAGAGAGGCTTCCGGGAACATGATTTCGATCGGGGCCCTCTTGGGCCTCCCTGAGGCCGTCTTGGGGGCCTCCTGGGCCGGCTTTGGGGCCTCTTGGGCCTTCTCGGGGGGTTCGGTGATCCCCGCAAGCCGACCCTTTCGGGCCGTCTGGGGCCCTCTTGGGTCTCTCTTGGGCTGTCTTGGGGCTCGGTGGCGGCGTCGGGGGCACTGTGAAGACGAAGCCAGCGAGTATGCCGAAAATGTACTTTTACAACGGACATGTGCCGATGTGTGCCTCTTGAAGGCCCTCTTGGGGCCCTCAGTGGCCCTCTTGGGGCTCTCTTGGGGCCCTCAGGGGACCACTTGGGGCCTCTTGTGGCCTCTTCGGAGGCTTCTGGAGACTGAGGGCTGGAATTTTCGGCGAGGGGGCCACGATTCTCTTGAGGGTGCCAAAAAATGGCCCGGGGGGGCCCCCATGGCGACCAGAGGCAGCAGCCGGCCCCCCCCCGGCCTACTCCGATATATATATATATATATATATATATATATATATACATATAGATATATCTATCTATCTATCTATCTATCTATCTATCTATCTATCTATCTATCTATCTATCTATCTATCTATCTATATATGCGTATATCCCCAAGCTTCGCTTGCACTTAGGAGGTCTTACTTCTAATTCTCAGTGTCGGATAGGACTGTCGAGGTTTTACCACGCTGCCGCTCGCTCCCTTCTTGATGCCGCCTCGTGCGCTAGGTGGGTCCGGCGAAATGTTGTCACGTTGCCGACCGTTGCCGCCTCGTTGCCGCCACGTGCTCTGGGCGAGCCTGGCAAGGTCTCGCCACGTTGACGCCTCGTTGCCTCCTGGCTGCCGCCTCGGGCGCCGGGTGGGCCTGGCGAGGCTTCGCCACGTTGCCACCCGTTGCCTCCTCCCTGCCGCTCTTCGTGATCTGGGTGAAGGCGGCGAGGTTTTCCCACGTTGCCGCCCAGTGCCGCCTCATTGCCGCCACGTGCGCTGGGTGGGTCCGGCGAGGCTCTGACACGCTGCGGTCCGTTTCCGCCTCGTTGCCACCTCGCGCGCTGGGTGGGTCCGACGAAGTTTCGCCACGTTGCCGCCCGTTGCCGCCTCGTTGCGCCTCTCGCGCTGGGGAATTACAGCGTGGTTTTGCCACGTTGCCGCCTGCTGCCTCTTCGTTGCCGCCTTTAGTTTACACCACAAATAGCGCACCACATGTAGCACAGCACCAGAATTTGCACCACAAAACTTGAAACATCCACAGCGCAATCAAATACGATCATGAAGCTAGTTATGTATTTGAATGGCTCTGGTTTCACACATTTCAGAGTGAGGGGGCCGAGCGACCATTCACTGTCCCTGGGCTCGTGGCTAAAATGAGGTTTCGCCGTTGTTGTTGTTATGTTAAACTCTCACTGCTGAAAAATAATTATTATTGATCCCCTCCCTCCCTGTTATTGTTAAATTGAAATGCCCTTCCCGGGGCTCTCCCCCGTTTTTAATCAGGGAAAATCTTGGGTCTCAGAATTATGTCTTTAGCCCCCAGTTTACAACAACAGCGGCCCCCGCCGGTCACTTCCTTACAATTTACTCCCGAATCGGGCTCTCGCGCGGGACATCCTCACAATTGTTGTAGGAATCACGCTCTCGCGTGGGAATTCCTCGCCATTTATGCAGACGCCGCGCCCTCGACACTCAGGAATCACGCTCGCGCTTTGGATTGCCTCACGAATTGTTTGGTTCGAAACTTCCTCACGATTCATGCAACAATCATGCTCAAAAGCTGCCTGCTCGACCTGGCCGTTTGGGCCCGCCATCCCGACCCGCCCGTTAGGATCTACCCGTCCGTCTGGTTCTGTCACGTGTTTTCTGCTCCTAGCCCCCCTCCTGCTGCTCTCTCTCGCGTGATCCATCCTTCTCCTTCCTCCTTGTCCCTTTCTTCCATCCGTCCCATCTTCCCCTGCCTCAGGGGCTGCACGGCATACACGTTGCAGGAGCCGTCTTGCGGGCCCCGTCCGTCTGTCCTACTGCTCCTCTCCAAACCCTCGTTCCCTAACCTCCCGATCATGTTCCCGGACCCCCGCCCCTTCCCCCCAGGTCACCGCAGCAGTAGAAAAGCGTTCCGAAACGGTGAGAAATCATGTTCCCGGAAAGCGTTCAAGAATATGAATCGTACGTCGTCCAAGGCGCCTCGGAAGGCGCAGAATACTCCTCCAATTGGAAGAGTATTCTGCGCCCGGAAAACCTTAAGGCGCGGAATCATGTTCCCGGACCGCCTTCCGGGAACATGATGGGGACGACCTCCTGAGGGCCTCCTGGAGGCGTCTTGGGGCGCGCTCATGGCCATTTTGGGGCATCTTCGGAGCCTCTTGGGGGCCTCCGGGGAGGCTCTTGGGGGCCTCTTTGGGGCCTCTTGGGGCCTCGCGGGGCCCTCTTGGGGCCCGCTGGGCTCGCTTAGGCAGTCTTGAAGCCCTGTCGGGGCTCTCCTGGAACCGTCTTGGGCGGCTCCTGGGCCATCTTGGGGCTCTCCTGGGCCGTCTTCGGACGCTTTTGGGGGTCTCTTGGGCCGTCTTGGGGCGGTCTTGGGGGCCTCTTCGGCCGTCTTGGAGCGGTTTTGGGAGACTGTTGGACGGTCTTGGAGCGTCGGAACCCCGAAAAAGCGAGAAGGCCCAAAACCTCGAAAAAAAATAAAAATCAACGATTTTGGCTTGTCGGCGCTCTCTTGGGAGGCCTCTTGGGATGCCTTCGGGGCCTCATGGAGCTCTCTTGGAACGTTTTCGGGCCTTCCTGGTCATTCCTGAGGCTAGCTATGCGCGTCTTGGATCGCTCGCGGGCCGTCTTGGGCGGTCTCAAACTGTTCCTGGCGGTCCCAGGGGCCCTCCGGGACGCTTCGGACGCTCCCAGGGGCGCCCTGCACCCCCCATGGAGATTACAGGCACCGCCCCGGGCCGCCCCCGGGCCCTACTCCGATATATATATATATATATATATATATATATGTGTGTATATGTATATGTATATACATATATATATGTGTATATATACACATAGTTATATACATTTATATACATATAGATATATATATATATATGTATATATACACATGTATATATATACATATATACATATATACATATATAAATATATATATATATATATAGATACTGGTAGAGACGCATCGCTTGGCGCAGACTCGCCTGGTAAGGAATCCAAGGGTGCGCACACAAAGCGAAGCGAAACTCCTCGCTGCCCCTGGAGTGAAAAGAGTGAACAACAGGACATGACATTGATATTTTCCGACGGAGACGTATCAGCCTGGCGCACACTTATCTGGTCGATTGCCCACGGGTGTGCACGCAAGGCGGAATGAAATAAACGATCGCCTCGGCGGTGAAAAGAAAGAGACTGCACTGGCGGGGTCAACACAGGTCGTCGCAAACCCGGGTCAGCCAATAAGCGCGGCCGCCTCGCGGCCACGAGCGGCTCGCTAACCCGGGTCAGCCAGAGGGGGTCTTCGCAGGATGCTGCAGGATCCGGTGCCCTGGCTGACCCCCGTCTGCATTGACCCCCGTCTCAAGGCCCCCGAACCTCCCGGTTTCACTGGTTACTGGGGACGAGGAGGATGCCTTGTCGAGCAGCTGCAGCCCAAAGTCCTGCGCTGGCACGGTGGCAGGAATTGCCAGAGACAGCTGGACAAGATCAGGCCTGAAGGCGCCGCCGAGCGTGCACTCCATGCGGGCTGCGCGGGGTGAGGTCGAATCCCACGGGCCCTCTGGGCGAAGGAATTGTTGTCTTCTCGCTTCCAAGCCCCCTCTTCCCCCTGCTCGGGGTCCCTCCTCTTTTTGACATACACCCCCTCCCCCACCAGACCTCAATGAGGACCCCCCCTCGGCGGCACCCCAGCATACTTTTACTACATGTGCGTCGCACCCCCGGGGGCGACGCGCGCCGCCCAAACAACGGCAAACCCGGGCCTATGACACCCCCTCCGCCGCCATCCCAATCAAAAACCAACGCAAAGTCCACAGTACGACACCGCGAGCACTTTCCAGCCGTTTTTGCCAGGGACGGCTCGGTGCCTTCATGCTGCCTGCAGCTAGCAATGACAATACCACCAACCGTCCCTTGCAAAGACACTCTGCACCGAAATCTGGATCATGCGCGGGCGCCCTGCGATGACTTTGCATTGGTTCTTTGTAGGGGCGGCGGGAGGCACACCCTCCCTTTCAAAAACATGTGCAATATGACTGCGGGCGCACGCGTAATGCGCAACGCTGTCAACCCCGACATCACTTCTCGTTGGTTTTTGAAGAGATTGCCGAGAGGGATCGACACAGCGCCCAATGTGGCGCACCTGGTGCGCGTGGCGCACCTGGCACGTGCGGCGCACCTCGCGGTCGTCGCGCACCTGGCTGGCGTCTGCATTGGTGCCCAATGGTTGTCGAAAACGGCCCCTGTTTATGCTGAGTCTCGGGTGCTAAGTTTAAGTCGGGCGTGTTCCCCTACAGGAGGGATTTTGGACGAAAAATAACAAATATGCAAAAAAAACAAACGGTCCAAAAATAATTTAAATATAGTCCCCAAGCTATTTTTTGACTATTTTTGAAAATTCCTCCTGTAAAGGGACGGGCCCGACTTGACGCTAAGTACTGCTGTAGCGAGAGGGCGGAAGTGTTCGAGACAGCCTGCGGGGCTCCCGCTGGGAGCTTTGCCAGTGCTCCTTGTCAGTAAGCACCCCCTACCCGAAACGAACAGCAACCCACCCGAACCCATGCCACCCCCCACCATCCCATACAAAAGCAACACAAAATCCACCGGCCCTGTCGGCGCGTGTGAGAATGAGTGAGAATGACGGTTTCCCGATGGGGTCGTCGTCCCCGTCGCCGCCCCCCCTTTCCCTGGGCCCCTCGTGTGTGTAAACCTGGAGGCCCCTGAGGCCCCGGGCGTGCGTGGCGAAACCTGCCCCTCCCCCCCCCCCACCCCCGGCACCGCCCCCCTCGGATGCGACTTTGGGCCCGAGGGGGGAAGGGGAAGGGGGGGCAGCCAGCCATCTCACGCGCCTCTGCGCCCTCCTCAAGCGGGGGACGGCGGATTATGTCACCACGTTCTTCCGTTGAAAAAACGCCCCCCAAAAGTCGACAGGGAATCGGCACCAACTCGCTCCACATCGGCATTCGACTGCACCGCTTGGGCCGTCTTGGGTGAAGGGGCCCTGGGACACACAAATGAATACACACAAATTACAGGATCCCCCATATATTCGCATTTGTTCTTGGTTTTTGTCTCCCCCCCCCGTCGCATATTTTCCTATGTTTTCGAGGGAATCGACGATTAATTGTGTCTGTGTGTTTTCCCTCCTGACGACTCACCGCCTCACCCATGTGCGGCCTCCTGCTGCCGTCCGCTCGCTGCTCGGCTCGTCTTGTCCCTGAAGCGAAGCCAGGGTGAGGATAACATCGGGCGAGGATAACCGAGAATCTCTAAGATCCGGCGGCCCTGGAGGATGTCTCGGGCGCCGCAGCCTTCTCAGAGCATTCCAGCACGGATTCATCCTCGTCCTAGCATCGTTCGAGCCCAGCTCTTTCGATTCGTGGGCTACGCGGTCGCTCCTCCTCAGCACGGCTGTCACCGGCCCGTAGTGGAAGCTCGACCACAAGACACTCTCCACAAGAAAACCGACTCTGAGACCCCAAAACGCCCTCTGATGCTTGATGCGGAGACTTCACACTTTTACCTAATTGTTCTCTTTTATTACATCGTAAAACCATCGAACCCCAAAAAAACCGCAGACCTCCGGCCACCACCTATCCCGCCCGAGTCCACTCGGAATGCGGCGCCGCGCCCGTGTCTAGTGCCCCTGGAGGCTCTCTCAAAAGAGCGTCTTTCCAAAGGGTGTCCTATGAATTCTTGCTAGGAAGACGAGGAGGAGGACGAGGAGGAGGAGGAAGACGAGGAGGAGGAGGAGGAGGAGGAGGAGGAGGAGGATACCGCACTGCATCGCGCAGGTACTTAGCCCAGCGCCAGGCAGGCACAGAAGAAAGGAGGTTCGGGAGCCCGAGCCCTCAGGCGCCAGAAAGTCGCATTCCCCCACCAGTAGGATCGCGGGGAGGGCGCTGGCACAGCAGGAAAAAGGAAGGGGAGAAGATGACGCGAAGGTTAGTAGAGCCAAGGGGAGCACTAATCCCCTTCAACCTACGATGAGAAATTCGTGGCCCAGGAGCCTGACCCAGGTGACTTCAGGGGACCGCGCGCGTCTGGCCACACCCAAGAAGAATTTGCAAACACGACGCAGACAGACTTAACAAAAAGGCGGTGCAGTGCATCGGTCATAATCGCCATTGCCGTGGAGAATCCTCAGCAAGTTGCAGGCTGCACCTGAGTTGCAATTGAAGCATGGATAGCAAACGCGAAAGCGGCGATACCAGACAGGGCGGGCATGACCGTGAAATGCACCAGGACCATTGCGTCATCTGTGCACCTCGCGACGAGACTGGGGTCAAAAAAGGGAGAGCTATAAGACCATGTCTCCAAGCTGCGGGGAGCGTGCACTTCAGGCGGGCTCTACCCGTCATCCGACACCGTGCCCCCTGGCACGCTGGGGCTTGCTGGATTTGTGTAATCCCACCAGCCCTCTGGGCACAGGTCGCCTAGAGCGTGTCCTCTTCCAGGTCCTCCCTACCCCTATTCGGGGAGGGTTACCCCCCCATCAGTGGGCCTGGACGGGGGTGGGCCCGGGGGATGGGAGCGTTCAAACCGGCCCAAGATGGCTTCAAAAGCGCCTGCGAAAGCCCAAGATGGCCTCCAAGACGGCTCTAGATAGTCGAACATGGTTCGAGGCAGCGTCCAGCATACCTCCAAGAGGCCCCAAGATGGACTCAAGACGGTCTCAAGTGCTCTCCGAGCTCCCCCATGTTCCCCCCAAGATGCTACAACCATTCAAACACGCAGAGAAAAACACACTGAATTCTCGCCGTTTCGCCTCCGATGGGCTTCTGGGAACTTAGAGTGGCCCCGGAGTGCCCCAATAGGGGCCACAGACGGCCCCGAGACGGCCACAAGAGCGCCCAAGAGGCGCCCAAGAGCGCTCCCCGAAAGGGGCCACGAGACGGCTTTGAGGGCTCTGATGGGGAGGGGCGCCGACTTACGCCGCCCTCTTTGTCGAGCAGCGAAGCCCGAGAAGGCCCTACGAAGGCGCCACGATCCCCCCCAAAACCGAACTTGCCCTGCGACGCACCCAGCCCTGTCTGCCCATGCGGCGACGATGCACAGGACCGATCAAAACAAACGAACGTGTCAAACGACCCGCAGAAGCCAAGGAAACTGGCGACAATTGCGCACTTCGCAGCCCCCCAGGGAATCCGCGAGTTCTCGACTGGGTGCATTCACAACTCCACTCCGCTGGGCCTCCCATGAGCCCACGAAAGTGGAGACAATTGCACACTTTGCAGCCCCCCAAAGAGCCGCGAGGTCTCGACAAGGTGCGTTTAGAACTACACTCCGTTGGGCCTTCCAGGAGCCCACGAGAGTGGCGACACCTGCGCACTTCGCAACCACCCAAAGGAGACGCGAGGTTTTGGCTCGGTGCATTTACAACTCCACTCCGCTGGGCCTCCCAGGGGCCCACAAAAACACAACAAACGAAAGTGGCGACAACTGCGCACTTCGGTGCACCCCAGGGAGCCGCGAGGTCTCGGCTGGGTGAGTTGACAGCTCCGCTGCGCTGGGCCTCTCTGGAGCCCACGGAAGTGGCGACAATGGTGCCCTACGCAGCCACCCAGGGAGCCGCGAGGGCTCGGCTCGGTGCGACTGCAACTCCACTCCGCTGAGCCTCCCAGGAGCCAACGAAAATGGCGACAATTGCACAGTTCGAAGCTCCCGCAAGGGAGCCGCGAGGTCTCGGGTGGGTGCGTTTACAAGTCCACTTCGCTGAGCCTCCCAGGAGCCAACGAAAATGGCGACAATTGCACAGTTCGAAGCTCCCGCAAGGGAGCCGCGAGGACTCCTCAAAGATGGCCCCAAGATGACCCTCAAGGCTCCCAAGCGGGCCCCGAGAGGGCCACAAGAGACGCCCAGGAGGGCCCAAGAGGCCCGCGAAGAAGCCCCCAAGAGGCTCCCACGAGACCCCCACGAGGCGCAAGAAGGCTGCCCCAAGGCACCTAAGATGCTCCAAGAGGCCCCAGGGACCGCCAAGAGGCCCTCGGTACTGCCCAAGAGGATTCCAAGACGCTCGCAAGAGACATCCGAAGAGATCCCGAGAGACATCCAAGAGGCCTCTGACCGTTCTGCTCGCCCTCCTCCTCCTCCTCTCCTCCTCCTCTTCCTCATCTGCCTAGTTCTCCTCGTCCCTCCTCCGTCCTCCCCCCCTTCCCCTGCTCCTCCTCATTCTCCTCCATCCTCCCCTTACGACGGCTTCCCCAAACCTATGATTACGGCAACTCGCCTGGGTCTCCGACTCCGTCCGAGGCCGCGCGGTACAGTTGATGTTGATTTAAAAGGACACGCGAGAGGACACAAGACCCTCGCCGAGGGCCACACTGTCATAGAAATGCAGAGGGCATGGGTCGCGAACCACAGGACACGAGGGTACCCTTGATCCGGCAGGGCCGACCTTAGAAGAAGAACGAACGCCATAAACAAAAACTTTTGGCGCTCCGCGCGGATTTCTTGGATCTGCGCTGGACCCCACTCCCTGGCGCGCTCCGCGTGCCAGTGGCGGCGCCGGAGGCGCCGCCAGGAGGCCCCAGCGCAGGTTCAAGAAATCCGCGCGGAGCGCCAAAAGTTCATGTCTATGGCGTCCTTTCGAGACCTACCATTTTCAACCTCGACTGTACCCCGCTGCTCAAGCAGCTGGGCCTCAGCTGCCCCTCCAACCTGGCGGCCAGCATCGGCGTCGCCCGGCGGCGGATTAGGCGCAGACGTGCTGGCTGACCGCGGCGCCGCGGCGCAGGCCGCCGCGGCGCTCCAAGGGCGCACGGTGGCCGCGCCCGGTGCGGGCACCCTCTGAATGTACCGGCCTTTCCGCGACGGCACGCCCGGAATTCTGACTTCAAGGTTCTGGTGAGATTCACCTGTGCACGATCAGCCGTGTGGACATCCGGAACCTGACCTATCAGCCGAAGATCCAAAGTCCCACACAGTCGCACGCAGGAGAGAGAGAGAGGGGGAGCAGAGAGTCGCCCTGCGCTTCACCCCCCCCCACCCCTCCCTATCGGGTCGGGCGAAAGGGGGGGATAGCAAAGGGGGGGGTTTGAGAATCAGCTCACGAAGCTGATTTTCCCGGCGCCTAACGGCGCCGGGAGCGGCCATGTATCGAGGAATGGGCCCCTCGGTGAGGCCGAAACCAGCTGCACGCAGCAGATTTCGTGACCCCCCCCTTTCCCAATCCCCCCCTTTCGCCCGACCCGACCCGAGGAGCAGAGGCAGCGGCACAGACCTCAGCCTCTGGCGCTCCGCGCGGATCCCGCGCGGGGGGCCCCCCTCTCTGGCGCGCGGAGCGCGCCGGCAGGTCCAGGGGAGCGCGGGGCCCTTCCGCGCTCGTCGAGGACGGGCGGCCTTTCGCGGGCGGGTGGCCGTGGGGGGAGGGCCTCCACGGGGGGCGGAGAGGAGCAAGCCGAGGCCAGGACGAGGACAACCTCGGAGGATGCATCGAACCTCTGAGAGCTGGCGGCTCTGGAGGCTGTCTCGGGCGCCGCGGCCTGGAGCGCTGCGGAACGCTCTGGGGCGGAGTTGTCCTCGCCCTAGCCCCGTCCGGCAAAGGACCCTAACGGAGCCTTTCCGGGCTCCTGTTGGGCCCCCGCCTAAAGGGGCCCTCAAGCCTGAGGGGCCTCTGCAGGGCCCTTTTCTCAAACCCCCGTGTGGATCACCCCCCATTACCGCCCGCCCGACCTGCGGGAGATGCTCTGGCCATGACTCGGCAGATCCTCCTCGCGGTCCTCCTCTCGTCGGCACGGATCGCCGCTGAGACGATTGTGCCCAAGCAGGGTGCAGAAAGGCCGCTCGGCCTCGCCGGCCACAGCACTGTTCCCGTGGAGCCAAAGGCAGGCCATGGGAAGCATCGAGGACTCCACGGAGAGGACGGAGGTGGACTCGATATCAACCGTCTGGTTGCCCACTGCCTTTCCGCTGGCCAGCTCCACCTGCGGCAACAACTCGGGCGCCGCGAAGGCACCGGCCGCGTGCCGGCGTGGCGTGCGGCTGCCCATGCGAGGCTCGGGGATCCGCATGTTGGGCCTCCTGTGGGCGTCGCGTAATAGGGGGGCGATGATTTGGCGGCGCGCACAAGGGGGTAGGGGGAGGGGGGAAGGCTTCTCAGAAGGAGGCTGCTTCTTAGAAGGCGCCGGCGTTGCATCTATAAAGAAGGCCCGCGCCTTCTAAGAAGGGGTGCTTCTAAGAAGCCTTCCCCCCTCCTGCTACCCCCTTCTGCGCGTGGCTGGATGATGGCGGGAGAAAGGTTTACTTTGCGGGCCCTGAAAGCCCCCTCTGGGGCCCTAAAAGGCCTCCTGGGGCTCACAGAAACCCGTAAAGGCATCTTTTCAGCAGCCCTGGCCGCCCCTCGTTTACCACCCCCCCACTTCGCGGCGGCCAACTCCTCATATAGGGAAGGTCTTCGAGAGCCGCAGGTGCCGAACTCTGGGGAGGTAGGAGCGCCCGAGGCCTGCGGATCTGGTTGGGACCGAGGTCGCCGGGGCCCCGCACGGCCCTGCTGTGGCCCATTCCGCAGGGGCAGCTGTGGGCCATGCTGGGAGTCGAGGGCTGCCTCAGTGCGGGCGCCACGCTGGATGCCTCCGCCCACGCCAACGCTGGCCCTGGTGGCTGCTCACCGACATAAGGGAGATTCGCCATCCCTGCGGTGCCTGGAAAGGAGATCCTGCAGGATTGCACAGGGTGCTTCGCCCCAACTGGTCGCCGCTAGGCTCCCTCCCGGTTGTAATAGTGCTTCGCCCAACGGCCGAGCCAGAAACAGCTTGAGCCTATGTTTTGATACGGATTGCAGCCTTGTGGGTGGTGTCGGGAGGCCGCTGGGGCCCTCCGGAGATCTCAGGAGCACCATGGTGGACTGTTGGTCCATCTCTCTGAGACCCCGCGGAGTGCATCGTGGCCCCCCTCAGGTCGTGCCGTGTGGAGACTGCGGGGGCCTATGGGTGCTACGGGGACGTCAGGAGGGAACAGGCTCCCGGGGGGAGACATCGATATGGAATTGGCGATATGTGTGCATCTGTACATGTATATATACATATTTATATATATATATATATGTATAAATATATATGTATATGTGTAGATTTATTTATAACTCTATATATATATATATACACACATATATTTGTGTCGCCGAGGGATCCCCTGCTAGCAGCACTGGACGGTCCTGGGCGGGGCCAGCTCTCGGGCCACCCTCGGCGCCCGCCGGGGCCCTCGGGGGCCGAGGCCTCGCCCCTCCCTTGCCGCCTGCCGCCCCGCTCCCCAAGGAAGGCCCCCGGGACGCCCCCCCAAAAACTTCGGGCGGGCTCCTGGGGACCCGTTGGGGGGAGAGGGAAGGGGGGATAGAAGAGGAGAGAGCAAGCAGGCAACAGAGAGGAGAGGAGGCGGGCGAGAAGGGAGGGAGAAGGGACTTCGTGCGGGCTCCTGGGAACCCGTGGGGGGAAAGGGAAGGGGGGATAGAAGAGAGGAGAGCAAGCGAGCAGGCAACAGAAAGGAGAGGAGGGGGGGCGAGAAGGGAGGGAGAAGGGCGCGAGCCCCAAGCGTGGCAGTCTGCGATCCACGCAGGGCGGCCGGAGGGGAGGGGACAAGGAGGAAGAGGGAGACGATCGTGTAGCCTCCTGGGCACAGCGCCTGATGGCGGCACCGGCCGTACGGCCGTGGCAACAGGGATGTGCGGTAAGGATGAAAGGGCCTCGGAAAGCCACGTTCGCGACTTTCGAACGGGGTTGGTCAGCGGAAACTGCCAAGGATGGGCCGGGGATGCAAGGACAACCGCGGGAGGCTGCTCATCCTTACTCTGCGCTCTGACTGTGCTGTGATGTTCCTGCCCTCCACTGGGCCTGGAGGCGGAGCCATGCTGGGGCTCGAGAGAGAAATCTAAGCACACACGGTCGACGGCCCGCGCGGATTTCCTGGATCTGCGCTGGACCCCCCCTCCCTGGCGCGCGAAGTGTGCCGGGAGCGGCGACGGCGGCGCCGCCAGGGGGGGACCCAGCGCGGATCCAAGAGATCCGCGCGACGCTCCAAACATTTCTGCTCGTGCCGTTTCCTTCCTTCAAGTTGAAGGAAAGAGAGCTATGCACATACACCGATTCTGGCCAGGCCCATCCTGAGCCCAGGATCGGTGCATATGCCCGACTGCCGTGGCCAGGAAAGCACATGCACGGATCCTGGGTCAAGGATGGGCCTTGCCAGGATCGGTGCATGTGCATAGCTCTCTTCGCCGGATCGAGTCACTGAAGGGGCCCTGGGACACACAAATCAATACCCACAGATAACAGGATCTTCCCTATTTTTCCATAGTTTCAGGGCTTTTGGCTTCCCCCCCCCCACTTCCCATGTTTTCTGGGGAGTGGACGAAGAATTGTGCCTCTGTGTGTTTTTGTTCCCCTCCCGGGAACATTATTTCGAACGGGGCCCTCTTGGGCCTCCCTGAGGCCGTCTTTGGGGCCTCCTGGGCCGGCTTTGGGGCCTCTTGGGCCGTCTCGGGGGGGTCCGTCAGCCACACAGGACAACCTTTTTTGGCCGTCTTGGGCCCCCTTGGGTCTCTCTTGGGCTGTGTTGGGGCTCCGCGGGGCTGAAGTCATGCCGGGGCCCCGGCTGGTCCTGGCCGGGCCGGGGTGCCTCCTGCGCAGAGCGGGCTCTGCACTCGCGCCCCGGGCCAGGAGCCCCGGCGTGCGGGCGCCCTCCGTGGGGCCCCCGAGGCCCGACCTCTGCCGCCCCCTCTGCTGAAGGGGCCCCTGGGGCACACAGACCAATACACACAGGTAGCAGGCGTCCCTCGTAGTTTCCCATGTTTTCGCGTTTTTTGCCGTCCCCCCCACTTCCCATATATGTTCCCAGATCTTCTGGGGAATCGACGATTACTCGTGTCTGTGTGTTTCTTTCCCTGCTGAAGAGATGCCGCGCCCGCCGCCCCCGCCAAAGGATCGATCCGGCCCGACAAAGATGGCGCAGAACAAACGGGCCTGGGGTTAAGTCTCCCCCTACAGGGGGATGTTCGACGAAAATGCCCCCGAAGTGTCCAAAAATAGTCTAACAATCGTCGCCCGACTATTTCCTTTTTCTATTTTTGAATATCCCTCCTGTAGAGGGACAGGCCCGACTTAAGGCTGGGGCTCGGGTCGCGATGTCTCGCGATGTTGCGCTCTTTTTGGCAGCGTCGGATCTCAAGGGCCTCAGTACGTGGGGAGACCAGAAGGCACCGATACCGCTACTCTCGGGAGCGGCCAAGAGGGGGGTGTCCAAGAGGGGGGGGTGCAAATCATGACCGGCGGCATGTGCGCGGCCCAGCGGGGGGGCCAGGAACGTAATGAAACAGGAAGAGGCGCCATGAAATCTGGGGAACTGTCATGGCCCACGCCATGATGTCTTCCCCCCCCCCAGTCATCACCCCCCTCTTTGCCGCCCCCGAGGAGGCACCGATACCGCTACTCCTGGGACCTCTCCCGGGGTGCGCTCTGACCAGGATTTCGAAGCGAATCCAGCGGTGGCCACGAGGGCCCCCCAGGGGGCCCAAAGGGGGGAGAACGGGGAAAGGGTAGAATGAAGGGGCCCCTGGGACACACAAATAAATACACACAAATAAAAATATGCCCCATAGTTTCCCATATGTTCTGGGTTTCTGTCTTCCTCCCCACTTCCCATTTCCCAATATTTTCTGGGGAATCGAGGATTAATTGTGTCTGTGTGTTTTTTCCTCTCCTGATAGAAGTGCTAGCTGTTCCTCCTCTGAGTGCGAACGGGACGAGACCTGGAGCAAAGGGGTCTTGAAGTCGTGCACCCTTTCGAGCCCCGCTGTGCCCTCCGCGGCCCTCCAGGGGCCGCAGGGACCCTCGAGGGCGGCCAGTCACGCGGAGCTGGTCCCGGGGAAAGCCCTGGGGTCCCAGGCGCGTTTCTCCCTCGGTGTCCGCTTCCTTCGTGGCGGCATTTCCCTGCCAGTGGCGCTCGCCCTGCGCCACGAATCCAGGCGGTTGCGCACTGTTCCTGTTGCAGCGCGCCCAGGCGCACTGCAGTTCGGGAACGAGAAAGAGACAGAGAGGGAGAGATGGGAGAGAGAAAACAGCGAGCAACAGTTGGGTTGGGCACGTCGTTGGCCCACAGCACGTTCTGTTCTGCAACTGCGACTGCGAGTGCAGCAGAAACAGCAGCACCGACGGCAGTCCCAGACATCTGGCGCTTCGATGCTGTTCGATGCGTGGGCCTCTGCACCGATCGGCCCCTTCCCTGGGGCCAGCGTGAAGTCGGGCCTGTCCCCCTACAGGGGGATTTGCGACGATAAATAGAACATACCAAAACAAATACCCCAAAAAGGTATAAAAAAGTCCCCAGGCTACTTTTTGATTACTTTTTGACTATGTTGGGGGTATGTTTTATTTGTCGTCGAAAATCCCCCTGCAGGGGGACAGGCCCGACTTAAGGCCAGCGGTCGACGCCCCCGAGGCCCGAGCTCAGCAGCAAGAGGCCGAGAATGACGACAGCCTGGCCGATGGGATCCTCAAGCACGAGGGGGTCAACATAACTGAAGGGGCCCCAGGACACACAGATAAATACACACAAATCAAAGGATTCCACATATTTTCTGGGTTTTTGTCTTCCCCCCTACTTCCCATATTTTCCTATATTTTCTGGGGAATCGACGATTCATTGTGTCTGTGTATTTTTTTGCCTCCTGAATAACCTCAGACCCCCAGATCGGGCGGGCGTTGCTTCAGGGGGGGGAGGTCGCACACACGCGGAGGGGGTAGACTCTTGCACCATCTGTTCCCCCTCAGGGCTCCAGGGGGCCCCGAAGGGCCCCCCCGAAGGCCCCCCTGAAGGCCCCTCTCTTGCAACCCTCGATCTCCCCCGATTTAATGCCCCCCCACACTACAAGATGCCCGACCAGAGGTCTGGACCACGTCCCCAGGACCAGCGCTTGGTCCTGTTGTTTGACGGTCCCAGGGCCTGCCAGGGCCTCGCGCAAGCCAAAAAACTGTCCGACCCGATCGTTTCACACGACGCGAGGGGGCCGTCTGGGTCGCCGGATGTCTCAACGGGGGGGTATGGCGACCCCAATTCCGGACGATGGGACTCCAGACTGGACAAGCAAGGGTTGGGCCACACTCTGGGAGAGACACGTCGTTCCGTCGGCGGCGAGGCCGAGGCAGCCCGCTCCAGCGTGCGGCTGTTCCGGGCAACCGAGAGGCAAATTGACCGGCGTGCGAGAGGAAGGAAGGAGACGAGAGCGGCCGCGCGCGGGGACACTCTGGGAGACAGTGGGGGCCCGACCCCAGGAGACCTTCCACGAGAAACCCAACCCTGAGACCCCAGGACGCCCATCGATGCTCGGTGTGGGAGCGCCACGTTTTCCGTCGCCAGGGTGCTTCTTGGCACGGGCCTCCACTGCACACGACAGGGGGGCGCCCATCGTCGACAGGGGTGCGCCCGAGCAGCCCACAGAGCGGCCCCATGCCTGGGGGGGGGGAACGCGGGCACTCGCCATCGCTCGGACGGCCACTCCCCGTGCGCGCTCCGCCTTCGTGCGTACACGTCGGTCGGAAGAAGTAGGTAAAAGCATGAAGTAGGAGGGCGGATTAAGTTGATTGGGTCCACGCCCCCCCAGGGAATAACAAAATACAGCAAAAGCGTGCCGATTCATGAAGTAGGAAGACGCTTGAAGTAGATTGGGATCTGGGAATCCAGACATACCTACTTTCAACGACCGGCGTGTGAACTTCTGCCGCAACCGGCGACCCGAGGGGTCGGCGGCAAGCCCCGGAAGGAGTGAGAGGG